ATGCTGAGATACTACTTAACTTTTAATTTCATATTGACTTTTACATTGATGTTAAGAAAACAAGTTTGGGTAAAACTTCTGGTGTATGAGCACACACACAGGCACTGGCACCAGAGGCTCCTGGCAATTTCTGGGTGTTCACCAGGGGCATCTTCAGTTGAAAGGGGAAAAAATGGGTTCTGTCTTTGATGAAGCAGCAGAAATCATTGGTTTCAGCAAATCTTAGTCTTCAATGCACGTAAGTAAAGGTGAAATGGGAACAAAGCATGCTTCTGGTTACCAGAGTAAGGTAAGATCTCAGAAGATGCACATATGTGGTGACTTGAGTTACAAATTAAAGAAGCCACCTTTTTCATGAAACACAGTTTTTACTTGGAAAAAAATGAATGACAGATAAACTATGGTTACTTAGGCTTGGGTATCTGTGAGACCTTTTCTCCCTAAAATTAGCTTATCCTAATGGTCCTCACTGCCAACAATAAAAATCAAGATTTTAGGACAAAATGAGAAGTTTTGAAGCTTGTGTCCTTCACCATTAGTTTCACAGCTTCAAAATCCTTAAAGACTTTTTAAAGGATACGTGTGAAAATATTAAGAAGTGTTATAAATTGATATTTTATAATAAAAAGTGTAACAATTCAGATGAGCTGCTTAACTCAGTGAGTGACGTGATATTTTCCAAGTGGCCAATGCATAATGCTATAAAATTCTTTATGGTTAGAATGCCCATTCCAAGTACAAGATAGAGGAATGGATTTTGATGTAATATGACCTAAAAATTACTTTGCTGTTATGGTTGATATCTAGATATCTGCCCCCCAAAAGCCTCATCCACTCCTAGGTGGGGCTTTGGGAGGTGACAGGATTGTGGATTAGTCAACTGAGAGTTTATAGCTGAATGTGACATTGGGAGGTGAAGCCTAGTTGGAGGAGGTGGATCACGAAGTGTATGGCCTTCAGGGGTCTATGTCCCTCCTCCCCCCTTGATCTCTGCCTGATTCCTGCAAGCTATGCCATGAGCTGTTTCTCGTCTGTGATGTCCCTGTCCTATGTTGTGTCACCTTGGAGTCAGCTGGCTATGGACTGGAATCTCTACAAACTGAGCCAAAATAAACCTCTCCTCCTTTAGTTCATGGGTACCAGGTATTACATTGTCTTGGTAACAAGAAAAGTGACTAAGACAAGTATTTGTGGAAACATGCTTCCAGATTCTACACTGTAGCTAATTTAAGAAACTACCATTTTGGGGGGGTAATGGTGCAGTGTAAAAGAAGATAAACCATGATTATCTTGAGAGATCTTAAGATGCTCTTCGTACGTAAACATTTTAAGGAGGTTCCTAATAAGCTTCAGCAGTGTAAGTTTGAGAAATTCTCTAAACTGTTCATTTGTAGGTTTTTTTTAGGACAAGTGATCATGTCAGTGCCTTTGAGTAGTAACAAACCTAACAATGATATTTTGCATGCTTTTACAGTTAATCACAACTTTTCAACCTCATCGTGATTCTTCCAAAACCAACAAGCATTTGTGGAAAATCTGCCTCACCTAAGTTCACTTCTAAATACTTCCTACATGTTTGATTCTTACAGCAGCCACTTAGACAAAGGTATTATCTGCACCACCTTTTCACAGAGGGAAAGCTGACACTAGACAAGTTAGATACCTTGCCTCAGGCCACAAAGCAGTGAGTCTCAGCCCTGCAACTGCAGCTAGCTGAAGAAAGTCTTCCTTGCCCTCTTCCCTAGGCTTGGCAAAGAATATCAAAGACCTCACTGATGTTTTCATATGCATTACTTGCTGAAATGGTAAATATTTTAGTCAAGTTGGATTAAGTCCAAAAATTATTAAATTAATTTCATTTGCTTTTCTTTCCTTTTCTCAAATGTGGCAGGGTCCGGGGATATAGCTCGGTAGTACAGTGTGTATTTGCAAGTAAGAGGACTGGGTTCAGTCCTCTGCAGTGAAAAAATAAAACGTGTGTACTAAAATTCATCTTTCTTCTTTTGTTGTTGTTTTGTTTATTTTGTGCCAGGGTCTTCCTTAGGTAGTGTAGTTCTGGGTGCTGGGTTTACATGTGCCACCACACCCAGCCACTGAAATTTTTAATTTGAGTATGTGGCTTCCATCTTATTCCTATCTAAGAGAGCTAGTTTTAACAGTATTAACTCAGTTAAGCTTTAAACTAGTTCAAATAAGAGAGTTCCTGATGCATCACCTAGGAAGCCAGGTTCTTCCTTCCTCAAATATTTCAAGGCCTTTAGTCCTTAATTAAAGATTTCTGGCACATGACTTTATCGTCCTCAAAGCCCTTGAGCTGCTTCAAACTCCACTGGTCCAGGCAGGGAAGCAGGTGTGTTTCATCACCCCCTTTGTTTTTTTTGTTTTTTTTTTTTTTTTTTTTTTTTCTCCGGTACCGGGAACCGAACTCACGACCTTGCGCTTGCCAGGCAGGCGCTTTTGCCGCTGAGCTAAACCCCCAGCCCCTATCACCCCCTTTGAAACTGCCGTGTTAGAGCATGTATTTCTTAGCTAAGTCACAAATGTACACTTTTACACATATTGCGTAACAGCTTTTCAGCTTTTTTGCCATATTAAAAATAAGAGAAAGTTAAGAAGAGAAAAGCAAAATGACAGGGACAATAGCAGCGGGCCCAAAGGAAATGTTTTTGGGTGCAGCTTGTGGGGAGATCAAGGAAGCCAAGACAAACAGACCAGGGTCTCCGCTGCTGCCCTCCTGCTTGCAGGGGCCGAGTGGGGAGGGACAGTACCAGGAAGCTGAGGGCTTTCCACTGGAGCTCAGCTGTCGCAGAGTAGAGTGGCATCACTATGGACAGAGCCCAAGTGGCGTAGCTGTGGATGCCAAGCGCAATTGCTGCAGGTGGTAGCGTTTTTGCCTTGCATTTTGGACCTCGGTGTGTTTTTGGCATACCTCACACTCTCTTCTATGATAATGGCTGACGTCTACTGGCACTCAGCATATACGGCGCCTTTCATGTGATCAAGTTCATCCTTACACAGAGCTCTGAGGGAACCATCCTGTGCCTTCCCCCTTCCTGTGTTTCTGACATCATGGGTAGGGGCCACATTTCACAGAGAGGAATTCTCCCCTGAAGGAACTACCCAGCATCTCATTGGACCTGATTTAGAGCACTTAGTGGGACTTGGACTTAACGTTGCTGTCAGAATGGCTCGGATTTTGGGGTTCTATGGGGTGGGGTGAGGGTATTTGGCTTGTGAGCGGATATGAGTGGGGATCAGAGGGTGGAAGGTGATGGGTGAAATTCATCTCCCACACGCTCCAGACCCGAGTGTCGAAGACGTCACCCCCAATGTGACTCTGCTTGGGGACAGGGTTTAAATGCTTCAGTGCCCAGTGATGCCCTTTTGTAACACCCACAGCAGTGAAACATAAAGAAATGGTTTCTCTTTGAATTCTCGTTCCTTGAATTTTCATAGGGAACGTATCTCAATTTCCTACAAAAATTCAAAAAATTTCAGTCTTCAGCATAAATGGGTCAAGGAGGTGTTTAAACGTAAAGAAGACCAGGTGGGTGGAGTGGGGGCAGCAACTCCCCTGGAAGGAAGAGAGAGGGGTCTGCTCTGCCAGCCCAGAAGCGAGGACCCCGGAAGTCACCGGGCCAGCGCTTCTGCCTCAAGACTCGCAGCCTCTGAAGTGTGTGACATCACTGTGTGTTGTGTAAGGCACTGTCTCTGGTGTCATCACAACACCGCACGCAGAGTACTCAGACACTGAGACAAAATGCAGAGTACTCAGACACCAGCCGGCCAGCAGGTGGCAGAGAGAGGATTAGGATGAAGCCTCCAACTGTCCCCGCCCCGCCGCTCCAGCTCCCAGCCAGGATGGGACCCGCAGAGCCAGACCCAGCCGGCCCCTGGCTGTCCTCCCACATCTGTTATCCAACAGCGCCAACTAATCCAGGGCGTCAGAACCAAGCCAGCCAGGGGCAAGTTTTGTGTAAGACACGAGAGTGCACAACACTGCAAATTCAGTTTAAGAATGACCAAAACAGGAGTGAAAGTCAGGAAAAGGCAGTTTCCTTAGCATGAACCTTGTAAGTGTAAGGTTTGCTGAGGGGGTGTAAGCCAGTGCCGTCTCCGATTACAAGGACCTGGTAACCTGAAGTCACCCCTAGTCATGAGGAGGAGACAGACACTCCTCCAAATGGAAGTTTCCCTCAGAAGTTTAAATTCCCCCTATAAAGCGCAACTTCTACTCTACTCTCAGAGCTTCTGCTATAGCTGCTGTTCCACAAAGTAACCGTCATGCCAACAAAGCACATTTTAGGGTGGCATACTGTAGGATCCTACAGTATCTGTCTCATAAAGTGTTAACCAACACAGCAATGGGCAGAAGCTCTGTGAATGCTAGTGGATATTATTATTTGTAACGTTTGACATAATAAATCACTGCACGTGCTCTTGGGATGGCTCACCCTGTATGTGACCCCCTCGGCAGAGATGACCAGGACCTGCAGTGGTGCACATTATACTACTTCTCCTTTTCCTCTCCCACCTCTCCCTGGGAACATGGAGCAACTGTGCTTCCCACTTGAAGTTAGGTGTGGCTGCTGACTTGCTTTAGCCCATAAAACCCAACCGGGAGAGTCACTTCCGATAAAAGATTTAACTTCGGCCATAACCTCCCCCACTCCCCCACCCCCACCCTACGCCCTCCTCTCTGAAGGTGGAGCCAGCTTTCAGACCCTTTGACATCTCACTGCGGGGACAACTCCAGGGAGGATCCCGGAGCCACAGGAGACTTTGATGATAAACAAACTGCCACTGCCCAAGCCTCTGACTTGTGACAGCAACGTCACCTGCTCTACCCTGGGCGTGACAGTCGCCACACCCCACAGCCTATCAGCAAGCCTGGCACATGGGAAGTGATTACGCATGCTCTGCCTGGATTAGTAAACTGAAACGTTTTAATCAGCAATTAACCTGAATGATTTTAATGAAACACATTATTTCCGCTCTGAAATCTTAGATTTTCTAACTGATTAGAATGGGGGGCTCGCCACCCTTTGTGTACCCAGCAATCATCCTTGCTACCAAAGCTACAGCCGCACATGTCCTGCATTCCACCGGGACCCCTTTAAAGTGCTGTCGAGCTTGAGTGGAGTTAATTGTCTGTGAAGTGGTCTTCAAAAGTCTTTACTTCCGCCATAGCCGACGCGTCCCTAAGGCCCCGGCGGACTACACCAGGAACCACAAGGAGAAGGGGGTCGAAATCACAGGAGAACGAGTTTAAGGAACTGCAAATGCAGTTCCTTTTAAAAGAAAGGGGTGGGCCCTGGCCCTCGGGACCCCCTGGTCCTTGCTGTAACAAGAGTCACTTCGAGAAATGAAAGCAAAGCAGAGCCCCAGGTAGATGAGAAAGCAGGTAGGAAGGAAGGTGATCCCCAGGGACCGCCGCACTTCATCCTCCTCCAGTGCAGGTTTCCTAGGGGACACTGGGGCTCCTGCTCACCCCAAACAGAGGGGCTTGCCGCCTCCACTGGGACTGAGGACTCAAGAAGTCCCAAGTGCAGGGCAGCAAGTAAGCAAAGGTCCTTCTGATGGTGGCTTCGGACTCTGCCTTTGTTTTAGTGAGGCTGGAGCGGCAGGGCGAGCCGCGTGGCAGGCGTCTGGTCACCGGCCCCTGGATGTGCGCCCTCGGACAGGACGAACGCGTGAGCCTCTCCGCGCACCCAGGGTCGTGCCCTGAAGACGTGGACACCTGTGCCCGCCTCAGGGTCGCTGTGGGAAGTGGAAGGCGCGGGGAGCACCCGCACAGCGCCTAGGGCAGCACACAGCAGTCGCCTCGGAGAAGTCAGCCTGTGTCACCTTGGGCCTCGCACCGACTCCTGTCACCAGCTCTTCGCCTTGGAGCGCGTGATTTGTTTTCTCTGTGTCTCATCTTCTCGAGGGTTTCGTGTCCTGCGACGTTGTCAGGAGCCGCTGCACGCACCCTGCCAGGTGCAGCCAGGACGGCGCAGCCCGGCCCCGCTGGGGAGGTCTCCGCACAGCACGGGGGTCCGCGGGGCTGGCGTCCCGGCCTCGGAGCGCAGGAGGCGCTGCTGTCCAGTGCCCTAGTCAGGCTGCCGTCGCCCGTGGGGGGCACCGAGACGCCCGGGAGACGAAGCTCTGCTCCCCCGCAGACCCTCCGCTCCCAGCTCTCCTGCCTCGGCTTCCAGCCGGTCTCCACCGCGGACTGTCCAGCAGAGGCCGCCCTGGGCCGGGCTCCTGGGGCCTGAGCGCGGCAGGAGGGAGGGAGGGACGACGGGTGGGGGCGGCCCAGTCCCCACGCCCAGCCGGGTGGGAGGGGTTTGGCGGCGGCGGCTCTGGCTCCGCGGCTGGGATGGAGCAGGAGTGCGCCCGGCGCGGGAGCTCACGCTGCTGACTGCGCCAGCCTTGCTTGTCTTCCCCGTCTCGCCGCCCGCAGCCCGCGCCGCCCGCCCGCTCCAGGACCATGGGCGACCGGGCGCTCGTCCTCCTGTGCTTCCTCGTGGCAGGTACGCGCCGTCCTCGGGGCGCAGGCGGGGCGGCGGTCCTGAGGGTGCTCGCGGTGTGGACCCCCGATCCGGCCGGGTCCGGTCCGACCCGGGTGCGGTGAGCGCGCCCGCAGCTAGACCCGGGGAGGGTGCGCGGCCCTGGTGCTCCTGACTCTCGGAGGACCCGGTGGCGGGGTCCTTGCTGCTTCCGCCTGTGCCCGCGTAGACGCGGCTAGTTGGGATCCGCGGGCCACACCGCGGTCCTCACCGGGCGGCAGGGGCGGGCGCAGGGTCCAACGCCAGGAGGCTGAGTCAGGCTTGGCCGCCGCCCGGAGGCTACTCGGGCGCCCCGGGCCCTGGGTCTCTGTGCGTCCGTGCTCCGCGCGGGGTGACGAGGCAGGACGGTCGCCGCGCGGGTCAGGCTGTGCGCTCCGAGTGCCGGCTTCTGGGCTGTGTCCCCGCGGTCGGTGACAGCGAGGTCCTCACCTCGGACAGGAGTCCTCAGGGTTCCAGGATCTCGGGACTCGCTGGGCAGGGCGCAGGGCTCTGTGCGCCTCTCGGGTCCGGAGCCTGCCTTTCTTCCTTGCTTGCTTATTCCTGTGTTATTTTGAACAGCCCGGCAGCTGGCAAAGCCGGATTAACCCTGACAGGCACTACTGTGGCTTTTTCCCCTGGAGCGGCCCGGGTTTTGTCTGTGATTTTGTGTCCGCGCGGTCTTAGCGTGGAGAGGAGGAGCACGGTCCCCTCGGCCTCTGTGGGATCCCGGCCCCTCGGCTCACAACCACCCTCAGGGACCTGGCGGCCCTCTGTCCCTTCCCCGCCTGGCCGCGGCTGCGTCCCCAGAGGCCATGAAGCCGGCCCAGGACCGCCCTGCTTTCCTCCAAAGTTCGCCCCCCAAAATCTCTAGGCCGCTGTGTCTTGCAGAGCTGTTTGCAGTAAATCGTCGGCCAAATAACTAAGGAGCATAAATGCCTGGTGAGAGTCTCTGCGTCTGGAGGAGCGGGTTTTCAGATCTAAAAGACTGCTTTTCTGGAAAAGTGGCTGGGTTGGTGAAGGAGCAGTGTGACAGGCACAGGAGTCTCTGGCTGTGCTGCGCTCCAGCCAGGCCCAAGAGGATACTTTTCTCCTCTGCTTTCCCTCCAGCTTCAGAGGCTTCAATTTTTAAATTATATCATCATCGTCGTCAGCCTTGTCATCACGGTAAAACCGTTGAAGTGAGGCTTTCTTGCGCCAGGAACAAGTTTGAAGGGCAGGGGCTTTCCAGGGGGTGGGGGGTACCAGTACTGAGACCAGACCGGAGCGCGCTGTACTACTAGGCTGTATCTCCAGCCCTTCTTACTTTTTATTTTGAGACAGGATCTCACCAAGTTGCCCAGGCTGGCCCTGAGCTTGTGATCTTCCTGCCTCAGCCTCCTCCTGTGTAGCTGGGATTACAGGTGCATCACCGTGCCCAGCCAGAGGCCTGGTTACTAGCTTCGCAAATCCACGCAATGTACGCCGAGCCTTTCCTCCAGGAGGCAGAGAGGGCACTTGGCCATAAGTACATAGTCAGCAGTGCAGCCCAGGAGGTCTCCATGTGTATCTTCTTGTGTCTTAAAAGGAGGGAAACAGGAAGTCTGGAGGCTGGTTCTGCTGGGACACCAGCACCTTTCTGCTAACAACTCTTCTGCAAGCCTGAAGCTCCCGGGTTCAGCCCTGGAGCGGTGCAGAGAGAGCAAGCCGTGCTGCAACGTTGCCTTCGGCTTTAGCAGCTCCGCTTTTTAGGGCTTTAGGGCTGCTTCTCCTTCACTCCCTTCCCGCCGTGGCCGGTGGCTGATGCTCTGTGGCCCCGTTTATTCACAGCTCTCTCACCGAGAGATCTAAGGGACAGTGAAACTTTCAAAGGCCTCTTTGCAACACCGGAGAGGACAAAGGAGAAACACTTTATGGGGAGGGAGGGACAAACCCGGGTTCCTGCTGCTCCTGCCCATCTGCCCTGGTCCCCTGCAGGAAGATTGTGGCCACCCCACTGCCAGACACTCTGTGTCTTCTTGTCCCCGGGCGAGCGGGTAAGGACCCCAGCCTGCCGCCCTGTGACTTCTCAGTAACCTCTTGATGGCCTTGTCCTTCCTACACATTTTCAGCTGTCTGTGTGTTACAGGTCCTGATGTGTGTCTGCTCAATAGGCTTTTCCCAAATCTATTAACATAAAGCAGAAGTGCGCACATTTTCACAGGAACAGCAGGGGGGTCTGTGGCTTGCTGGGGTGGTAGGGTTACAGGCCTTCCTTTGGGCTGAGATCTGCGGCCAGAGGCAGAGACAGGACACTTCCTCATGTGACACATGACCTGAAAGGTGGCCTCTCTTCCTTGTTATCTGATGTGCGGACAGAGGCAGGGCTTTCAGGTGGTGAGCCGCAGATTCTTCCTGCAGCTGGATCACCGACAGGCTTTGCTACACACAAATCCTGTTGTTTAGGGCCAGCACCTTTTCACTCTATGTGTTCTTATCTTCAGACTGGATGGGAATAAAGCAACGCAAAGCTTTGGCAACTGTCAAAGGATGGACTGTACCTACGAGGAAACAGTGCCAGGAAGGTAGTCAATTCGCCCAGTAAGCATTACCTAGCCAATATCCTCACTGATAAAGCTGATTATATTCTGCACTGTCCAGAAGCGCAGTTTAATTATACAGTTCCCTTTGGATGGTGTAAAACAAAGATCTTCTCTAATGTTTTGCTGCAACTCTTCCTGCAAAACCAATGAGCAAATTAAGAAAACATTCAGCCAACCCTACCAAATAACTAATTTTGGACAGTAGTTCAAAACATGCTCAGTAACAAAGAGAAGTGGGCCGAGGATATAGCTCAGTGGCACAGTACCTACCTGGCAAGTGCAAGGTCATGAGTTCGATTCCCAGTACCAAAAAAAAAAAAAAAAAAAAAAAAACTTAAAAGAGAAATAACATCTCACCAAGGGCTTCATTTCTTCTATGGGGAATTTTACAAACTGGAGTGTTTTAAAATTCTCAGTCCACTAAGCCTTAAAGGGTCTGTGCCCACAGCCACAATACTTTGGATAATTCCAATCAAACAACTTGGGTAAAGATGGGTCATTTTGTCTGAAAGTTCTAGAAAGGCACTTTCCAGAATGCTGAATCATAAATAATGCCCAGATCTTTGACTGAACTGCAACCTTTAAACCTGGTCTAATCGTGCTTGTGTTTTTGTGTGGGAAATACTGGTCCAGTATTTACACTGTTTAAAGAGACTTTTTTTAGGGTACAACACCTACTGAAAATGGTGGACAGCAACATTTCTTAAATATTTTCAACAGGAGTTGGCTGTCTTATCACCTAAAGTCTGCAGTGAAGGAAAGGAGTACTGCACTAGTGATTACAACTGTATACTTCCTTTCCCAAGGATCTGTCCCTGAAACAGAGCATGTTAGCATAAGAACAAGTATGTGCTTGGTTCATAAGCTATCAAGGCTATCAAGTGAAGGAGATCCTTGGAAATGTTAAGGTTTCAACTACCTGATAACACTCGTGTGTGTAGGTAGTTCAGAACATTTCTCATTTTAATTATATCGTAAATTATTTAAATGTCTGATTAATGTAACAGCCTAGCTTCTGATGTGTGGATACGTAAGTGCTCATCGTGATATCAGCATACCATTCTCTCACCTGTTTAACACTGTTTTACACTTGGAAGCCATTGCCATTTCATTAGTGCCAGGAATGATTAAAACAAAAGAGACAGTTACAGAAATCTTCCCATTCATACCTTCCTTTGATGCAGGGTGGCATTCTATCAATGAAAATTACACTATTTTAATTTTCCTTTGCTTAGTATTGCCAGATTTGGCAAATAAAAATCTGGCTTGTCCTGCTGGGTATGGTGACACATACCTATAATCCCAGCACAGGAAGGAAGGCCGAGGCAGGAGGATTCCTGCAAGTTCAAAGCCAGCCTGAACTGCATAGCAAAACCATATCTCAAACACACACACACACACACACACCAGGTCATCCAGTAAAATTTGAATTTCAAGTACACAGCAATTCTAAGTTTGTCCCCTGTAAAGTGAAAGTCAAATCCCTCTAACTGTTCTATATTTTTTCTGGCAGCCAGACTTAGTCTTTCATCTGCAGCTCATCTGTGTAGTCAATGGGTTTAACGTAAGATGAGCTTTATTTGGAACCTTAGTTCAGGCGGCTGTAGCCGCCCTCCACCACTCCATTCAAAATGATCTGTCCATGAGGAAACATGGAGATTTTAGAGCCGCTGTCTGGGTAACCAACAGCGTGGGTTAGGACTAAGGGACGACTTTCACTGCTGCCGTGAAACCTGTGCATTCTGATTGCATATCCATTAGCTGTGCATTGCTGTGTGCATCTCTGAACAGTTGTTGAGATTTCTGTGACCTCTCTCACCTACATTAAAGAGCCACTTTTGACTCTTCCTTTAAAAAAATGTGTGTTTCTTAGGGTAGCAATGTTAAAAACAGTTAAGACAGCTAGAACTAGAGACCTCGTGGCTGGTAGCTGAGTACCTTTGGGTTTCTGTGCTGCTTTTTGTGCCAGGATCTTATGACATCTTACAAACACTAATTGGGTAAGTTTTATATAATTCCTGCTGCATAGGTTTATGAATGTCACTTAAAAGCTGTGCATATACAAAATTGAAAGCAACATATTAGACAGAAGTTTAAGTAAGATGCTAAAAAAATCTTTTAAGCAATTTAACTGTGGTGGATATGGGGGCCCTCATCCCTAAGGAAAAAAATCTGTGAATAGCTGATTGTGAAGTGGGGGAAATAGTGGCAAATTACTAGACGTGATATTTAGAAAACATTGCCTATTCGATACAAAAGGTGAACAGTAGCATACATCTTGTATGATATGTCTTCCACTTACACTGGAGTGTATCATGCTATCTTCCACTTACATTGCAGATTCTGACACCTGATTTTCTTTTCTGTAAACAAGGAAGTAAGGACTTGAAACTTGAGTGCAGGTGTTGAATAGGACAGGAATTTGAG